GCTCATTTTTTTTTTTATCTAGTGATGCTAAATCAATAGAAAAACGTTGGTCCCTGAAAAAGGTCACGGGGGCCCTGATTTTCACTACAAAATAAAGAAAGAAAGGGGGAAAGAAAAAGATAAAAGGAAAAGAAATGAAAATCGTAAGGCAGGAAAGGAAAAGAATAAGAAAAAAAGACATAAGAAAGAAATGGAATGGAAAGGAAGCATAAGAAAGAAAAGGAGAGACTAATACAGAAAATGAAACATAGAAACAAAAGGAAACATAAGAAAGGGAAAAAGAAGAAAAGGAAACATAAGAAAGAATAGGAAAAAGATAAAGAAACATATGACAAAAAAGGAAAGTATAAGAAAGAGGAAGAAAGGAAAAGGAGATATCTAAAGACATCGGTATAGCTGTTGTTAAAAATTGAGAAGGTAAAGTAATAAAATGATGAGTCTTGTTACATTTTCTTCTTGTGATATGTATCTTGTTTTTTTCTCTACAGCTTGTTTGACACTGCCCAGCACCTATTTAGGTGGAAATTTTTGCGCTTTACAAATCTTTATTATTATTATTATTATTATTATTATTATTATTATTATTATTATTATTATTATTATTATTATTATTATTATTATTATTATTATTATTATTATTATTATTATTATTATTAATATTATTATTATTATTATTATTATTATTACTATTATTATTATTATTATTATTATTATTATTATTATTATTATTATTATTATTATTATTATTATTATTATAAAGAAATGGAGAAAAAAAGAAAATGATATTCAAATTTAAAGCTATTCATTGTCAAAACACTCGAAAGCGGCTGAAAGATACAGATTTTTGATTATTTACTATGGGGGAAAGAAGGAGGTACTTTTCCTTACAGCTCTTAAATATTACAAAATTTGTATCTCACTAACCGCTTTTGATTTTTTCGTCGAATATTCACATTCTTTTTTGTGTCTTAGAAAAATTATTTCTACAACATATATAACATATCTAAAAACAAAGAAATGTCCTCAAAACAAAACAGAAAACAACCTATACTGCCCCCTATGTTTCACGACCCCTGCTCTTTCTTTTGACCTGATGTTGATGCTCTGATCTTGATGATTATGATAGTCCGACCCCCGCGAGAGGAGAGCATCAACAGGATCACTGAGGGGTGCTATGAGTTTGGCCTAGGAACTTCTATGCAAGAAACGTGCGGTAGAATTAAGTCAGATACTGGTTATTGCCCGTTTATTCACCCATATTACTATCATGTCTTCTTTTATTAGAAGCGATTATGATCGTGACAAGATTCGTTCACGTGAAAAAGATCGCGACCGTGAAAGAACGAGCAGCAGCAAGCACAGCAGCAGGGACGGGCGGGACCGCGACCGAGATCGAAAAGACGAGTACAGAAAATCAGAAAAATATTCTGACAAAAGAGATCGTGACAAAAGGGACAGAGAACGTGAAAGAGACAAAGATCGTAGTAAATCACGTAGATCTAGATCACCTCATGATAGAAAAGACAGAAAACGGTAAGTCGGCCCTTAATTTAGGGCATCCTACTACTACTAGGCCTAGCTAGGCTCGCCTGCTGCCTGGGCCCTAGATAGCTTCTTCTAGGCCTAGGGGCCTAGCCCATATTTTTTATTATAGGCCTAGGCCTATAATACCTCATATAGGTCCTAGGTGTACATAGATTCTAGCAATCAATATTTGTATACTACTAGCCTAGTATGTGCAATTTACAATTTGAAAACTGCAAGAATCTGCGCAATTTGCACAAGGAAATTGTTGCACAACTTTTTAAAGTGCACAGACAATTTGCAAACTGTTCAGGGAAAGCTTGGGCACATTTTAATCGACTTGTACTTTTTCAGTGTTCTCCCCAGGGCAATAAGCTGTATGTGTATAGAGTTGTTTTTGTTTTCAATTTATATTGAAAATACAATTTATATAAAATAATTACTTTTTGCGGTTTAAATCCCTGTGTATCATCTTTCTTGTACTCCTATGTTTGTTCAATTTCTTTTAATTCTTTAGGTGTTTTTGCCTTATCGTTTACTTATTCTATTTGCGAGCTTGTCTTGTATAGTTATGTCTTCCAATATTTCATTTGTAATCCATGGTTCTGATTCAAATTTGATTCTAACATCCCTTTGCGGTGTAATTTTGTCGAGAATATGGGTAAATGTTTTAACAAAACTGTTCCAAGCATGATTATCAGTGGTTTTGCTATCATATGTACCACTCTATGGAATTTTCAAGTTGATTACAAATGCATCTTTATCATATTTCTTTAGTTCTCCTTATCCTAACAGTCCTATGACAATTCTTCTGTGGTCGAAGTTTTTTTTTCTTGTGCAGTAACCTACTTAATGATCACTGAAGCTGGTGTGTATTACATCACTCAGGGTTATTTTATCCTTGCAATTTGAGAAGATATGATCAATGGGTGACTGTGATTTAGACACATTCTATTGGGCGAGGTAATTAATTTGCTTGAATCCATTTTGTTGGAGGATCTTTTCATATTACAGTATACATAATCAGGTTTTCTTTTAAGACAGCTCACAGATTTGTGTTCCCCACAATATGGGTTTTCAGATAATATTACAAATATTTACATAGCGCCAATTCGAAACTTATCAAAAGCGCTATAAAACTACACTATTATCTTATTATTATTATTATTATTATTATTATTATTATTGTTATTATTATTATTATTATTATTATTATTATTTTTATTAATTATTATTATTATTAAGTGAGGAAATAAAGCAAGTAAACAAAATAAAATAAATAAAGTAAGCAAGCAGAGGGTAATGTACAAAGAGTCTCATCTAAATTTTCCATAAAGTTCTTGTTATCAGGAGGTTGGTAGCATGGACTACTAACATCGATTTTGAGCGTGGCAAGAGGAGTTCTATTCATGTTATTTCCATGTCGGTACGTTAAAGATCTGGTCTGTGATTGAAAGTATACACCTCATTTATGAACATGCTTAACGTCCCCGACTGTTCACTGTTGATAATCTATCTCGCCGGATCACAGAGTAGCCTGGGATATTTATCTCATTGGTTGTCCTAATCCAATGCACAAATACAATAATCACTAAGAATATTCTTCCAAAATGTTGTAGTTAGTGCATTAGGAATACCACAATACTATTCGCAGAGTAAATTAAGAAGGGATATGTCAAGGCCTAATTTTCGACAGAAGCCTACTGTCTAAGCCTAATTTTTCCGTGGAGAATATATTCCCCACACAGGCCTTACTTTACAGTCTCGTCATGTGTTACTGCACACGACATTGAATGAAGATGTTTTTTTTGCTTTATATTTAAAGAAATAAAGTGGAAGAGGAAGATGAACAGGAAGAAGTAAAAACAGTGAAAAAGGAACCGCTTTCACTTGAAGAAGTATTAGCAAGAAAGGCGGCTGAACAAGCAGCATTGTCAAAGGTATGTGAAAGTGCCAGCTAATTATATATATGGTTCTAAATAGAGTAACATTCAAATTTGTTTCATGAAAGAAGGTGGGGGTGTAGCAGGATAAATATTTCCCTCTGCAATCTACAATATTTAGGTCAGATTACAATGATTTAATTTTACCAGTTTGCAAAGTGTACTTATAACATACTGTACAGCGAGTGGTTAAGTTGCTTGCCTTTTAATCCCAGGGTCCTGGGTTCAATTCCTGTTACAGTAGCACTTCCTCTGAAGTCAAGTCCATTTCCAAAACCTCATAAATAAACTTCACATTATTTCTTATATTTCGTTACTGATTTCACGAAGAGACACAAACTTCAATTTAGACAAAAACGTATATTATTAAAGATAAAGCATTAAACAATCCAAATGCTCAATTTATTTTTCTTGTCGTAACTTCAATTAACCTGTTAATTAGCATGAAAAGTTTGTGTCCTTGAAAACGATCACTTTATGCACTGTACGCGCTCCGTCAGACACAAACTCACTACTTTTGTTGCAACTATCATGGGAAACTGTAATTGAATTATACAATTTAAAAAAAAAATAAACAGCACCTCAAAACAATCACTCAAAAGTTTACAATAAAAAACATATTGTAAAAGTGTTTGAAATGGGCAATAAAAATGATTAAATGACAGATAAATAACAGTATTTCACTACACCTGGTGATCTGTAATCACTTGTCTTTAGATAAACATTGGTCTACATTCTTAATGAACTACCCAAAGTCGTATAATAAGTTTGATTCTATTGTATGTTTGCAGCCAAAATTTCTATCAAAGGAGGAGCGAGCCAAGCAAGCTTTAGAAAGACGTCAGCAGCAAGTAGATGAGCAACGAAAGAAGCAAGAAGAAGAAAGAAATAAACAGTTATCATTCTTAAAAGAAGCTAAGATTTCTTTAGGCAGGTTTTCCTATCTATTTTATACAACCATCCATTCCATGCCCATATATAGTCATGATGTGTCTATAGATGGTCATGGTGTGATGTCATCAGCCCTCCCATCCCCATCTATCCCTCCATCCATCGAATAACCATAAGTATTATTCGTCGATCACCTAACCCATCCTTTCAACCACCCAAATAACTGTCCAAGGTTGATGGGGATGCAGTCATCTGCTACTGTTAAGGCCCTGTCCAGACTATCAAATTTGTATATGACAAAAACATGTGACAAGCCTAAATATTGTCATGACGACATTAAATCATGACCATATATAGACACATCATGACTATATATGGGCATGTAACAGTTTTTTGTCAAAGAAAATTTGATAGTGTAGACAAAGCTTAAGGCTCATCAGATTAAACTGCATTAGACATCTATTATATAATTAGCAATTAGAATAGTTGCATGTATTACATAGCCTATGTAAATACGAGTACGTGATTGGTTGAAAATGCCATCACGTGACTAGCGCTACGAGGATCGAAAACGTTATATTTCCCCGTAGGGAAATATAACTTTGAAAAGTGACCGGTCTCTGACGTCACCGGATTACACCCGCATTACGCCCGTAGTGAATTGCTAGTCGAGCGCACGATCGATCGCTCATGAATTGTGAATGTGGAAAGCCTAGCGCTTCGAAAATGGCGACTTCAAATAAGTTTAAATCTCTCAAAGAAGACGAATTGGATAGAATTATTGACGAAAAGGGTTCTCGGTGTACAAAATTTGTTGTGAATTCATCCGTTAATGTAGGCCCACTCAGTGAATATTGTAAGGCCAAGAAATCATCAAATTAGGTCTAGGCCTAGGCCTACTTTTGCATATTGAAAATTTCACAACGGAGCTCAACGCGTTATGTTTTTCGGTCTTTCTACGCTTAGGTAAGGAGAGCAAACGGTGAATTTTAGGCTAAACGATCTATATCTAAAATAACAGATATTACCTTTTCTATCGGTGTAATATTAACATTTGATATCCCCGAGGGAATTATATTTTTTTCTCAGGACTATATTTTCCTTCGAAAAAAATATAATTCCCTCGGGGATATCAAATGTTATATTACACCTCTAAGCAGGCAATATCTGTATAATAATACACAAGTGGAAATTTATTATGTTAAGGTTCAATTCAATTCAAAATAAATTTATTCCAAATCTTTTCAAAGCATAGATTAAACAGTGTAGATATAAAAATGGAAATGGAAATGGCAACCACAAACAAGCAGAGCTTTACACTTGTGGCACCCGAAAAAAAGTAATTAAGATACTATTTCAAATTGACAATGTAAGTAAAGGTATAAATTTTAATTAAAGCACATTCATATCATAGATCAAGATAATAATAATAATAATAATAATAATAATAATAATAATAATAATAATAATAATAATAACAATATTAATAAAAACAAAGAAAAAAAATATAAGGATAACAAAAAGAAAAATAAAATTGAAATAAAAATAAAGGTTAATGAAAGAAAAAAATAATTGTTTTAATACATTAATGTAACCGAAGTATAATAAATTTCCCCTAGTGTATGTAAGCATTCTTCTAATTGCTTTATAAGTCAATTTCCGTTTTTTAATGTTAGTTGTAGTATCAAACTGATTGTAGTCAGTGGTTGCTATAGTGATATGATCAGTATATCTGTGTGCATGTTACATTTAGCTGTGCGTGTGGATTGTTGCGCTAGCCAGCAGTGCAGTTGAGATGGTATGATTTCATATAGAGTACTATATATTGGAAATTTAATCATAGTAGTAGACACAGTTTTATAGGGACAACTGAATAATTGGAAAATCACAAGTCCACTTAAGAAAATAAACTATTTTGCAGAGGATCCAAATGAGAAAGAGAGAAGAGAAAGAAGAGAGAGACGGGAACGCGAACGAATGGAAAGACCCGATGATAAAGATGAAGTAAAGGACAGCCGAGAAAGAGAGAAGGAGTTATCAGCGATCAAGGTATGACTTAATTGTTGGAAAGGATTACATTTAAACCTTATGGTTTAATTAAATGATTGTTTTTTACAGATTGTCATATTTTTAATTTTAAAGTTGTTTTATACTTGATTTTATTTGAGCTGTCCATCTTTAACTTTACCAAAATAAGTCCTTCCCTTAATCTTTGATAATGACCATATACTAGAACTATTCATTTTTGGTTTGCCACCAGAATCGGTATCTAGGTGTTGTGAAAAAGAAGCGGCGTGTTCGCCATTTAAATGATCGGAAGTTTGTGTTTGATTGGAATGCCGAAGAAGACACCTCAGTAGACCATAATCCACTGTAAGTAACATGGTTTTTCTGTCCTAAAAATGTATCATTAAAAATTATGATATTTGAGATAAAAATGACTATGGTGATAATGACTAATGATAAATTAATAATAAAGTGTTATATCCCTTTCCCCTCAGTTTTCAATAGCCAAAAATCTACACCTTATTGAACTGTTTTTTTTTTTTAGTTTTTTTTCGTCAAACACCCTGTCAGTGTACAATCATTTGTACAATATATCCATCATTTTTTTTTTCTCTTGAGCTTGGCTTTAATTAAACCATTTAAAGTTAAATTTTTAACAATATCAAGTCTATGATCTGATAAATAATAAGTGTTCTTTAATAAATTCACTTTTTGACAGATACAAAGAGAAACATCAGATCCAGTTATTCGGTAGAGGACACATCGCTGGTATTGACATCAAAATACAAAAGAAAGAACAGACGGCATTTTATAAAGATCTACTCAGTGAGAGAAGAACTAAACAGGAGAAAGACAGAGAAATGTATGTTGCAAGTGATAATAGCAAATCTGATGTTTTTTCTTTATTTTAAAACCTTTGATTATTGAATTGTACATTATAGTACTAATGTAAAGGTGGGCATGCACTTCATCATACAACAAATCCTACTCTGCCCTCGTGTGAGCGTCAGACGGTGCAACACTGTCTGCTGATGACCATCAGCGCATTGAGCACTGGCCTAAGAGATGTAAAGTTTCTTGAATCTTAAATGTTAATTGTTTTTAACTGCTGTTGTTTTCTTAGATTATAACATGTCGCTATCTGTGATATTTCATGTAGATATACTATAAGCTTTTTACTTTTCTGGGAATGACCAATTGGTCAATGTAGGCTGCAGATTCAGAATATGTGGCAAAGATAAGCCAAACCAGTCACTCGTCGCAAAAATCGATTTTGAGTTATTAAGACAGTGTTAGATAGTAAAATAATAGCTATAAAATGGTAAAAAAATCTTTCAAATCGGACATTTCCTTATGAAGTTACAAGCGTTTAAACATACAGCTGTTTAAAGAACAGTATATGAGAAATGAGCCTTCAAAGTTTATGATTTCAAGCATTACTCATGCAGAAACTATCATCAAATCCTTAAAAAGTGTTGTTTTAACATTGAAAACATGGGGAAAATAACAGCATAGAATGATGTATAGATATGTAAAGATTAGTTTAGTGCAATAAAATAGATTTTTAAAAATTTGACATTCCAGCACGTTTTGGCCATTTTCTCTGAAACACGATTTGCGACGAGTGACTGGTTTGGCTTGTCTTTGCCACATATTACTTTTGAGTGTTGTAGCTCGTTTTATTTCCCTAGTAGCTAAGACCACAGTTTCTTTACTGCACTTTCTCTATTGGTATTTTTGTCATAAATATCCTGAATCTTTATACCAACCCTCCACTCAGCCCCAAACCTGGTATGTCAATGACAGCAAATTGTAGAATGGAAATAATGAATTATTTAAAATAGCCAGCTAGGTTAATTTTATAATTATGTATTTATATAATCTCAAAATTTAATTGCTTTTTTTTTTCTTGATTTAAAAAAAGTAAATTGTAGAAATTATTGCATATAATAATTATATTTATTTTTTTTAAATTAAAGTCATAAAGGCTATTTTTAATTACTTAATTTCTTCTTATTTTCATTCTGTCAATTGTTTATAGTGAAAGGTTGAAATCAGTGCGCAAGAAGGAAGACAAACGCCGCCATGATGACAGACATTGGAGTCACAAATCTTTGGAACAGATGATGGAGAGAGACTGGCGTATCTTCCGTGAGGATTACAACATCTCTTCCAAGGGTGGTCGTATTCCTAATCCTATCCGCAACTGGAAGGAATCCAGTTTGCCAGATCACATTATGGAAGTTATAGATGGTCTTAACTACAAGGTAACTAATTACTCTGAGGTGTTTTTATTGTTATTTTTACTATCTCGCCTATTGAAAACAATATTATTATTATTTAGGCCAACAAGACTTTGTGTTGTTTGAAGGTTTACATGGTGTTGGCTATGGTAAGCTGTGGATAGTAGATCTGAAAACAAGTAAAGTGGTTAGCAATAAGCAAGGTGTGACTGTTCTTCTGCAGTGTAAGGGACTAAGCCAGGCAGCCTCATAATTCACAGGTCGCCATCCCATGCAAGTGAAATGTGAAAACAAACATTACATGTAAACAAATAAACTGTATGTGGAAGATGGTTTAAATAATGATAGGCCTATATCACTCGTGACGAATCCAATATCTTGTGAAACTATGCTATGCTTGTAGATCTCAGTTACTTCCCTTGTGCATCTAGAGTACCAAGTGGATGCTGGAGCGATTAGCTTAAAATCTTTCTAATAAATTTGATGACTTTCCTTGTACGAATGTAGAATGATGGATGACTTTTGGTATTCACCTCGTCTTCCATGACCATTATGTTTTTTGAGTCTGGTGTTACGATATCTACCACATTCACATGGGATCATGTATACCCATGGACAGTTATTGTACGATGGTTTATCCTTATGTATGTGTATATCCCCTGTAAAATTTTATCTTGGCCGAGTTCACAATGCGCTGGATTCGATGTGAGGTGGGCCTATTTAAGTCAAGGCTACCATCTTCAGTTCTGGTTGAACTGGTCTGTTGGTTGGTGGGTTGGCGTTAAGTGGTGGTATCTGTTCAGGGCAAGAGTAAATCTGAAGTGTTGTAGTTCTTGTTCCAGGCTTGATTTGTCACTGATTGAGTGAGCTCTTCTAATAAGAAGGTTGCAGACCTATTGCTTGGATTGCAGGGTGGTGAAGTGACTGTTGGTTGAGATATTGATCAGTGTGCGTAGGTTTGCAATATACGTTGTTTGACAGCAAGTTGTTTCCTTGTAACATGTAATGGAATAGATCTATTTGATTCAGTTTCCATGGTAAAGGCGATGTGTCATCAAAATAATGATATATATTTGTCAGTGGTATGCTATGATTCATGTATTTTTCATGTATTTTGTAGGAGCCTACCCCTATCCAGCGTCAAGCAATTCCTATTGGCTTGCAGAATCGTGATGTAATAGGTGTTGCCGAGACTGGGAGTGGTAAAACAGCTGCTTTTCTTATCCCTCTTCTTGTATGGATTACAACACTACCAAAACTCCAAAGGTACCAATCTTTATTTTTCCCCATTTTCTTCCATATCAATATTAATTTAATTATCATATTTGATTGATTTTTTTAAAAAATATTTTTGCTCTATCAATACAAAATACAAATTCAAACAAATGTCCAAAGGAAGAATAGAAATGAAAGCAACACTATATGTTATTAGCTTGGAAGCTGGTTTCCATAATGACCCTAATGGATATTTTATATATAACATATGAAAAAAAAAATTAATAATTTAAATCTAAACAAAACCAAGAAACCCAGATTACTGATGACATCTGATATAATCCTCTGAATCATATAGCCCTATCCACACTATCAATTTTTCTTTGACCAAAAACTGTTGTATGGCCATATATAGTCATAATGTGTCTATATAGGGTCATGATGTGATGTCATCATGACCATATTTAGGAATGTCACATGTTTTTGTCAAATAAAATTTGATAGTCTGGATAGAGAGCTTCCCATTTTTCCCATATCAGTATATTTAATTGTCATATTTGATTTGATTATTTTTTTTATATTTTTGCTCTATCAATGCAAAATACATATTCAAACACATCCAAAGGAAGAATAGAATGTTTTATGGCCATATATAGTCATAACATGTCTTTTTATGGTCATGATGTGATTTCATCAGGACCATATTTATGTCTCATGTTTTTGTCAAATAAAATTTGATAGCCCGGACAGGGCTTAACAATATATTGTCAAAGGAGGTCTTACTATTCTTGGAAAAGGTAATTGTAAAGTATATTTCACAGAGAGGAAGATATGGACCAAGGCCCATACGCCATAATTCTTGCGCCAACCAGAGAGTTGGCTCAGCAGATAGAGGAAGAAACCCTTAAGTTTGGCAAACCACTAGGCATACGCACCGTGTCCATTATTGGTGGTATCTCCCGTGAAGATCAGGGCTTCAAGCTACGGCAAGGCGTAGAGATAGTTATTGCAACCCCTGGTCGTCTTATTGATGTCTTGGAGAATCGCTACCTTGTTTTGGTTCAGTGCACCTATGTGGTACTTGATGAAGTAAGCTTATCATTTAATGACGCATTCATATTCTTAAGCTAGATTTTTGTCTGTCGTAACTCAAATGAAAAATGTTCAATCAAACTTTAGTCTGGTTTCCATAAAATTGCTACAGGCTTTCACCGACTGCTTTCAGTGATACTGATTGTTCGGTTAAGTAATTTGGTCTGAAACCATTATCCATTTAATTAAACCAATAAATATCCTAGAAACTAACCAGCAAATATCATTTTATTGTGATGATAATTGTATTAATTTTTTAAATTTTATCTATTAGGCAGATCGTATGATTGATATGGGTTTTGAACCAGATGTGCAGAAGATCCTTGAGTACCTGCCAGTGAGTAATCAGAAGCCTGATACAGAAGAGGCAGCAGATGCAGAAAAGATCATGGCAAACTATGGCAGCAAGCAAAAGTTCAGACAAGTAAGCATTTGTGCATTAAATTTTATTAACCACAACACATCACGTTAACAATAAGTGTCACAATTATTACTCTAGCATAAAATTAACTATTAATGCCCATACCATTAATAAATTAAACATCGATCTCCAATAATATAATATGTGTCCTATATATCAATGTATACTTTAGGAATAATGATGTTACCATTATTTTGTTAATCATATTATTCACCATACGATAATTAACTAGCCGCACTCATCAATAACTAAATACACATCACTCACCAATAATACATAACATGTGACAAAGACAAGCCAAACCACTAGTCGCAAATCCTGTTTCAGAGATAATTGCCAAAACATTTTAGAATGTCAAAATTTTTGGAATTTATTTTATTGCACTAAACTAACCTTTATATATCTATACATCATGCTATATTCTGTTATTTTCCCCATTTTCAATTTTAAAACAACAATTTTTAACAATTTGGTGATGGTCTCTGCCTGAGAAATGCTCAAAATCATAAACTTTAAAGGCTGATTTCTCAAATGCAAGATGGTCATAAGAAGATGGTGCGCAGCGTAAAAAGAGCATTTCCGGTTCCCTTTGTATTGTATTTAATTTTGCATGTTTTAATGTGTATATTTTTATCGCTCTATGAAACTAATATTGTTTAATTAATTGTTAATGACTTGAGATATGCTCATTGCTATTTCCATATTGGACAATAAAATTAAATCTGAATCTGCTGAAACTCTGGCATGTTATGCTCTTTTGGGGTAACAAGATCCATTAGTGATGATGGTGACAGTTTTCGTTTATAAATTATGTAATCATGTCTCTTTGACATATTATATTAAATAATTGCTTAAATATATTAATGTAAATATACTTATTTGGCTTCCATAGACTGTGATGTTCACCGCTACTATGCCGACGGCAGTTGAAAGGGTAGCAAGATCCTACCTCAGACGACCAGCGATTGTTTACATTGGATCCGCTGGAAAACCAACTGAAAACGTTGAACAGATAGTATACATGGTTGATAATAAGCAGAAACGGTAAGTTACAATATATATACATGTGTAAAATCTGTAGGGCCATAATCATTATTCATTGTGAGCAATTTCATTTCGAAGTCCAAATTAATATTATGAATCTAATTAGCCCCAAAGGAGCGAAATTCAACTGATCTACTATACTTCTCTTTTGTTATTTTAGTCACAAGTTGGTGGAGATTCTGGAACGTGGAACAGAACCACCTATTATCATTTTTGTCAACCAGAAGAAGGGCTGTGATGTTCTAGCCAGGTCACTCGAGAAAATGGCTGTGAGTTAAAACAACATTTTTTTCTCCTATAATTGTTTATTTTTTTGTTTTATTGTTTTTTACCACACACATAAAATATAAATTAATAAACGATAAATAGTACAATTGAAATTCCATTTTATAAACAAAAAGAAAAAAAGAAAAATACGGTACAGTAGGAGGTCAAAATAAGTTTGTATACAAACTTTAAGACATGACCACCAATAATAAATAATAAATAATAATATAATAGATAAATAATAATAAATAATAAGAATAATAAAAATAATAATAGTAATAATAATAATAATAATAATAATAATAATAACAGCAATAATAATAATACTAACAAAATTATATATATATATATATATTATATATATTTTTTATAATTTACATTTTTATTTTATTTATCTTATATTTCTTTTAAGCTTTTCAATTATAACTACTTTACTACTACCGTACTATTGTAAGTGGCATACCACACGGCAGCTTTCAGGGGCCTCTCCTTTTTGTTTTTACATATTAACGATTTACCAGGATGTGTTAATTCAGAGGTTTTCCTTTTGGCTGATGATACCAAACTATGTCAAGATGTATACAGATTTAGGGATCATTTACATTGTAAAACAATCTTGAGAATCTGATAAAATGGTCATCAACTTGGTTATTTGAATTTAATTCTCAGTTTTGCCGTTAGAAAGGAGAAAAGTTAGACGTTTTTTTTTATTACTATATAAGGTTTTTGTTAGACCCCCATCAGGAGTATAGTGTCTCAGTCTGGTGCCCGCATTTAGAGAAACACATCAAACTGATCTAGAATGTGCAACATAGAGTTACTAGACTTGTTCCTTGACTGAAGGGCTTAAGTTACTCTAATAGGCTTCGTACATTAAATCTGCCTATGAAGAAGATGTAGAGGCGATATGATTAAGACATTTAAAATTTTAAATAATTATGATAGTCATTACCCACTTTACCTGGAATCTATGTATGCGTTATATAAAATTGATTATCATTTGCCAAAGTTTTGAGTAAAAGTATTATGGCTTTTAAGTCTTCTAATGCTCATTACTCAGTTTAACATATTGCTCCAGTACGCTTGTTTTGGGATGGCATTCCTCAACTTATAATTTTTATCACTATTATTATTGTTGTTACTATTATTAAAAGTGTAATTGTTTTACAGTACAGCGCAGTTACGCTTCATGGGGGTAAGAGTCAAGAACAGCGTGAGTATGCTTTGGCAAGTTTGAAGAATGGTTCCAAAGACATCCTTGTTGCTACGGATGTTGCTGGGCGTGGTATTGATATTCAGGACGTCTCGATGGTTATCAACTTTGACATGGCCAAGTCCATTGAGAGTAAGTGTAATCC